CTCACAACAATGCAAAACAACAGCAGCTTAAGAAAAAAAAAATAATTCTACACTATAAAAGTAATTAAAATTGCCAAAAGGGAAAAGAGCAGAACACTACTTGTTTAGTTTAGCGTGGGAGTGTGGGAAAATATGAAAAAAGTCATCTGTTGGAGAGAGAGAGAATTGTTAGACTAATTAACGTTTTTTTTCTTTTTCTTCAAATGATAAATAATTATGTCAACTTCTATGAGGCAAACTGGGATTTCAGAATAACTGAAGGGGGAAAGTTTATTGAGTGTAATTAAGTGTTTCATTTTCTGCAAATGCCTTCTTTCTCTGGTTAGTCTTTCATTTTCAGCCTTTCATTTAGCGACCTCTTCTTCCCTCTCTATTTCCAACTTCCAGTTTTCTACCTCTTTCTGTCTGTGTCTTTTGTGGCTGGGCAGGTGCAACGGGCCATGTTGACAGCTTGTCCCTCCTCTCTTGCCGCAGGGAAAACTGTCACCCCTGTCATTCAGGCCTATGAACACAGCATGGAGAATGCATGTATGTGTCTGTGTGTGTGTTCTCAGGAGACGAGGACAGTGTGGTGTGAGTGGGGAGAGGGGCTTTATTAGCTCTGCCAGAAACAGCTGAATGCATGGAAACACACACACACACACACACACACACACACACACACACACACACACACACACACACACACACACACACACACACACACACACACACACACACACACACACACACACACACACACACACACACACACACACACACACACACACACACACACACACACAAACAAACGTTAACTTTGCTGAAAATCATGGGAGTTGCACAGCAACAACCTAAAAGGGCAAAGCCTTCCGGAGGAAATTTTTTACACCAGATTGACATGGTGATGCAGCAAAGGAAGAGAGGTCCTTATGTGTGTAGAGTTCACACACTTTTTACTACACACATGCACACGTTTGCACAGGGGAATAAATTGTGGTCACTCTAGACAAACATGGAAATCATGCCTGTAGCGCTATGTATCACCCCTGACTCTTATTGAATCTCACTGATGAATAAAAGCAGGAATAATTACTTGTAATGTGAACACAAAACAGGCAGAGCAGACGCCTACATATGGGGGAGAGGAAAAAAGGCTTCAGACCATAAAGTAGTGTGTTAGTTTAAAATGTCCCAATTACATGGGAAACAGCCCTCCAGTAACAACTTAAAACTCAGCTGTGATCAAAGGTTGAAAATATTGGCTGTAAGGGATGATCCCATATATAAATGTGTCCATGTGCATGTGAACAAGGCAGAACTGGTAAAAGGCAAGTATGTTCATAAAGTTGGTGTCACCTTGGTTAGTTTTTAAATTGTGATTCCAATTGAAGTCCAATTTGCAGACACCTGGTTACTGGTTCATACTGGTTACCAATACAGTTCATTTTGATTCTCGGAAACTCGTATGAACACAAACCATGCACTAAAATGGTAGAACATGCAACTACTTGATCCTTAAACTCTGTGAACCAAAATAGGATGCAGACTTTTAAATGTCAAAACTACATCAGGCACCACCACTCATGTGGGACTCAGTCTCCAAAAAAAGCAAAAACCTGTATTTCAAAACAAAACACGAGGCTCCAACATCGCTCAGTAGGTTACACAGTCTACAGTATGTGTGTAATGTCTTGAGTGTGTGCATGTCCGTCCGTTGTGGGGCATTGGCCCTAGACAAAGTGCTCCGCCAGCTTTCTGCCCACTGGTCTTTTCATTGCTGATGGATGGGCCTTGTTCAGCACCATCTGGCTATAGGATATTTCACATTAATCATCTCACACACACACACACACACACACACACACACACACACACACACACACACACACACACACACACACACACACACACACACACACACACACACTTCTGTTTCTTAAACATACACATGTCTACATGTAAATGAAATGAAAGAAAACACAAGAAAACATCTACAATGCTGTATATTATATGGAAGCAAAGTAAAAGGAAAGAAAGAAACAACAAAAGAAACAAAACAATATTTATTCTCATTGACAGTTTTAGCAAGCCATTTTCCACATTTGTGATTCAGAGCTACCCAGAGGAGATTAAGAAACAAGCTTGGTACAACAAAAAACCAATTAGTTCATTTAAAAACATTGTTTCATTTGGTTGGTAGCCTGGAGCTATGGAGCAATAAAGCTTCACCAACCCCCCACCCTGACTCAGTCTTTATTAATGACCTTTTCATACCTATAGGAGGATGCGTATTAACAATAATGTTTGTAAAGACACCAACTTCTCCCTTCCCTCTAAATCTGTGCACTCTCTCTCTCCCTCTCTCTTTGTCTCCCTCACTCCCACATACACACACACACACACACACACACACACACACACAAACACATGTTAGTAAACACATAATATCCTTACATAAACCGTAAGCTGAAAAGCCAGACACCCAAGGGAATTTAATGTAAAATGAGGGACATTATCAGACTTCATTTATTTCTATCTAACGGCTATATAGGCTTAATACAAGCTGATTTGCCTCCACATCTCCACGGTGTATGGACATGGGCAAGGACAGGCAGAACCCTGGCTGATCTGGGAGGAAGCATGCTTGACATTAGATTTATTATCATTAAATCATATCTCACAGCTATCTGGGTTTGTAATGCAATGTGATTTATCTACGCATCTACATAATCTATGGGAATAGAATACGACCTACAGAACCATGGCTGTAAGAGGAGCTACATGGAAGATTTATAAGAAACTTGCTTAAAATGTTAAAATTATTTATATATGAGGGCTATCAGATAACACATAACAGGAGGGGATTACGTTTGACACATTTTATTAACAATGTAGTGAAATAGGCAAGGTTATCAGTAAGTTAGTTGAAATTTTACTCTGCTGAGGATTTAAAACATATGATGTTATGTAGCAATAATAAGAGCCATTATTTTTATCAGTACAATTTTAAACGCCACTTAATGTGTTTCAACATAGTTAACCATGTGTTTTATAGTACAAGAAAAGCTGAATGTAAAAATACAAATAAAGAAATTCCATTGTTGTTGAAATCTGAAATAAAAATTGGATACACTGTTTTTATGACTACATTTCTATTATTGACTCCTAGAAGAGGGGATTTTAGAAGGTCTGGGGCTGTGACTGGGTCCATGTTTCATCTTTAGCCTTAACTTTGGAATGGACAGGGGCTTCCTCCCTGAGGATCTCAAGCGGCACACTGGCTCAGAGTGAATTAAGAGGTCTCATATCTGGTGAGACAATGCAGTGCCTTTAAAGTGGTACTTCACACAAAATCTATCTTTTGAGATACACAAGCCCCCTCTATTTTCACAAATAATACACATACATACAGATGGGAACTGAAGAAGTGGATTTTACTGCAACTTGTTATGAAATGTCTGTTTAAGTGACTGGTGTCTATCAAAGGTTTCAGAAATGGTTTGTAATGTTTCCTTTTTGGGTTTTACATAAAAGCCTGGACAATTTATTGTGCTTTGTGGGGCATTCCAGGACATTTGCTGTAGCATAATTAAACTCCTTCAACAATCTAAACCTTCATGAATTAGCATGTTCACAAAAACACACACAAACCAAGTGTTCAGTAATATATAGTAAGATGGAGACACTCAGCACAACAGGCTCAGGTACACTGTCACACAGATGGGTTTCTAAATTCCTCCAGGAATCATACTTTGGAGAAAGCATGTTCACAAATACTAAATATCTAATTTAGATGCAAACGTGTTAATGTATTATGAAGACTTCTAACTTCTCTCAATTCACATTCCCTGCTTGTGTTAGGTGTGTGTTTATGCACTCACTCATGTGCATGTGTGTTCCAAGTATACCATTATTAGTGTACCTGTATGTGTGTGTGTTTGAGTGTGTGGGAGTAAAAGATCCATGCCTGTGACAATGAAAACGTGATCTTTCTTATATCCTTTTAATTAGTGTGTAACATATAACAGCACCACAGGCACAAACTCCTCTAGAGGTATAAACTCTGCATAAAAACATAGCCAAGCTAAAGCTTTGTTAAATGACAGAGTTTGACACCTACATGGAAGCCTTCAATCACCAACAGGTTCACAACATTCACACTGCAGATAAGAACCAAAAAAAAAAAAAAACACATTAATGCCTTCCTTGTACACTATTTTCCCCTCAATTTCTCATCATAATGGCAAGTAATTACCACTGTTCACAGCACTATGCAAACACTGGGCAAAAATATCTGACTAACCAGTGTTATTCAAATAGTTATGGCAAAAAAAGAAAAAGGACGTCTCTCACTCACTCACTCACTCACTCACTCACTCACTCACTCACTTACTCACTCAGACACAAACACAAACAGTGTTGTCACAAGGGTCTCATCATCATAAGCATGCCTAAAGAGAGGCAAGTTCAGTCTGCTGTCAGATGTTAACCTCCTTATATATGAGCCCATACACACACAGACACACAATATGGGAATACACACATACGAAACAGTTAAGAAGATTTATCTTTGACTTAAAATTATATCTCTCACACACGTACACACACACACACACACACACACACACACACACACACACACACCCCCCCCACACACACACACACACACACACACACACACACACACACACACGATGTAATCAGGAACAAACACTTGAGCTGCCCTCATCCACTAGATTTCTGAAAAGAGGTATCCATCTCCAAGAGACGACAAACTCATCACAGCCATCGAAACAATATGGTGATGGTGACCTACAACCACTTTTGATGTCAAGTGAAGGCTTCTTGTATAGAGGTGAATGAGGTTGTATACTGAGGGCACTCGTCATTAAGAAATAGGCAGAAAAAAATTGCACCCAAAAAATACCACAACACTTTAAGGCAAGACCGAACAGACAGATACAGAAACGTAAACCAGGGAAGTTATGCAGGAACACAAACATTGAAAGATGTCTTACCTTATGGTCATAGGGGTTGTAAGAGTGGAAGAGTTGTGACAGCTCTTTAGTCCTCTGCTTCTTCTATAGACGCAGACAATAAAAGAAGATACAAAAATTTAAAGGTTAAAAGCCACTCATATAATGCATGTTTAATACACTTCAAAAGACCAATTAAAAGTTATTTAGATTTAATTGTAGATGACAGGAGTATGTACTTAGATTAAAACACATTCATCTAGAATAGGAAAATGTTGCTATATAAAGCAAATGCAAATAGGTGATGTCCCCTGGGTGCAAACTACTCATCCGTTGCTCTTTGTATGACAATTTGACTTCGACTTCCTCTGAATTTTCTTGTCTTCCTTGATTTGTTTTGTTTGCATTTTGTTATTTTTACTGTACAAACAATACTTGTCCATTGGTATCAAAAATGATAAAACATAATGAAATGTCCCCTTCCACTCAAAATCAGTGCAGTCCACTACAGTTGTTTTTTTTACTGTGCAGATTACTTTACATCATGACATTTATATCAAAAAGAGTGTTAACACCCTATAATCAGAGGAGGACCACCCACCTCCCCCAGCCTCCGCTTTGAGTCAAAGTCTGTAAAACCACTGCGCTTATTTTCAAGTGTATGCTGATCAAGATGCATAATTCACAGGAGTTATTGCTAATTTTTGCTAACATTCTACTCAGTATTTTTCTCATTTTGGCACAGTGGTTTGGACTGGTGCTTTAAATGGCAACCGTGTTCATGTATTCTAAATGGGACAAAAGAATCACCTGTCACTTATACTAATCAGGACTGACATACTTTATATATGTTTTTAAAAAAAATACATTTCCCTACAACACTCACAATCTAAAATATTGTTCCTTGGCATGTGACTGTCCTCATCTGCTAGTCACGCAGAAAAAAATGACAAATAATAAATATGGACAGTACAGTTTCACTCATGAAAACTCATTAGGTCACTTACACAAAAAAATCACCACAGCTGAGAACAACGCCTACAGTAATTCATTAAATCTATAAAATATGGAAGGAACAGAGGGAAAAAATACATTTATCTGCCCACCAGCTATGGCAGAAAATATTTCTCTTATTATCGCTCAAAGTCTGGCCTTAACCTTGCATGTCCTTAATGTGTAATGAGATGCATGAGCGTGAGACATGACTGTTTGATGTGTGGCAGTTGTTAATGCAATCAGTTACATGAGGCTGAAGCAGTTACAAAGAGTGCTAATTAGCACGATGATTAGGCCATGTCAGGCTAAGGGGGAAGGATACATGTATGTGCTACTGTAGCTAAAGGGAGTATGCATTCATTGCCCTCTTCCCTCTGTCTTTTTCAGTGCTTGTAAAGGGCTGGATTCAGTGTCTTTAGGCCTGATCTGTACATACGGAGCAGCAAACCTACAAGTCGCTCTACTATTACACATAGGCATCATTAAAGCGTGACAGACAAATGCAGCTTTAGGATAGGCAAAGGCAGCTTGAGGATGTGGAGAAGAGAATGGATACAGAAAAGGAAGATAAATCTATTAATAAGTATAGAATGTGTGGTCAATTTGACGAAGATTGACATTGTTTTCGAAAGTTAGCATGAAATAACATGACAGGCTGTGCTAATGCCCTTAGACAGGAAGAGTGGAAAGGCTGAAGTAAAAAAGAACCAAAGTGAAGGGAGCAGTGGAAAAGCGATGACGTAGAAAGAAAAGTAAATGCAGCAAAAACAAGGTATTATGGTAGAAGTGTTTAAGAAGAAGAAGGTGGCGATTGTACTCCTTGACCTCGGCTAACAACCATTTTGACTTTGTCGTTCTCTGTCTCTAGTGATGCCCATCCTTTCATCGCTCCACCCCTCATCACTTGTCGCCCTGCTCTCTATTTCTTACATCTGGGTATACCCTCACTATTTTTTCTTCCCCATCCTCGAATTCTACCCATCTCTCACACATTCTCGGTTCACCCAGGTCTCTTGTGATCCATTCAATCCCGTAATCATTGGCCCTGTCCTTCTACCATCTTCTCATTCTTGTTTTCACCCGATTCCTTCTCGCTTTCTCTGCCAAAGGGCTCTCCAGAATCTTCAAATCCTCTTTTCTCTCGTTTTCTTTGCCTTTCCACAGATCCCTGGGTGCTCTACCTCTCCCTCACTCCCTGTGTTTTTCTCCAGTGAAGGAATACTCATACTAATCATTCTGTCTCCACTCTCTCGCCCATCCTCCCCCTTACAATCTCTCTCACTCTCATTCTCTCTCTCTCTGCCTGGAGCACCTTAGGTGAGAGCAATTCTCTCATAATTTTTCCTCAACACGTTCTCTCTCCTCTTTCCATCCCTTCATCACTCTCACATCACTCTGTATTCGATGATGCTCAACTGTGTGTGTGTGGAACTGTAAGACAGATGTAACCGCAGGTAAGGATTTCTCACCCACCAATGAGCTACCAGCAGAATTTAAACAGTTCAATAGCAGACACACATACACTCACGCCTACAGGAACACACACCACAGGCACACACACATCAACACGGGCTCACACACTGACTCACACAAACACATGCTGGACACTCAAAATGGACAAAGGTGTGAAAACATGCCAGATACAAGGTAATTCAAAGGCCAGTATGAACAGAACAAAAGGAGTCAACTGAAAGAGAAAAAGCAAAAAGAGACAGAGAACCAAATGGACTAAAGAAAAGATACAAAATGATGAGACACAGAGATCAATTTCTTATCTCCTACCATAACCACAATAAATGGACGGGAAACCTCATCTCATTACTTGTTGTTAGAGACTTGCAGTTTATGCAGTAATGTTGCTACTTACATAGAGGTCAAGAGGTGGACATTCGTGAGATCCTCAACTTAAACCCCCAGACTAGTGTGGAAAAAGCTGGCTGATGGGAAGTGAATGAGAAATGTTCTCATTATCCCACAACAGCTGCTGCTGGGGTACCCTTGAGCAAAAACTATGCCCAAAGTTGCACCTCTGGAACTAATCAGTAGTCACTAGCAGAAGGCTGCACTGAGGAGGCGGAGATTTGTAAACTTTGCTAATGGGAAGCAAGGTGAGGTTGAAATAGGCCACGGATGCTCTGCAAAGGTGCTGTACCATATACATTTTGAGACTTGAGTAAATATGATGTAAACAATTTTAACAACAACAAAAATGCAGTTTTTAAATGATGATTTCATTTATTAAGGGAAAAAAGCTATCCAAACCTACCTGGCCCTATGTGAAAAAGTAATTGCCCCCCTTGTTAAATCATTAATTAACTGTGATTGACCAAAATTTCACTAGCCACAACCAGGCCTGATTACTGCCAGACATGTTGAATCAAGAAATAACCTAAATAGAACCTGTCTGACAAAGTGAAGTAGGCTAAAAGATCTCAAAAAGCAACACATCATGCCACGTTGTAAAGAAATTTAAGAACAGATGAGAAACAAAATCATTGACGTCTATCTAAAAGGTTACAAAGCCATTTCTAAGGCTTTGGGACTCCAGCAAACCACGGTGAGAGCAGTTATCCACAAATGGGGAAAACTTGGAACAGTGGTGAACCTTCCCAGGGGTGGTTGGCCTACCAAAATGACTCCAAGAGGGCATTGATGCTCATCCAGGTCGTCACAAAAGAACCCAGGACAACATCTAAAGAACTGCAGGCCTCACTTGCTTTAGTTAAGGTCAGTGTTCCTGACTCAACAATAAGAAAGAGACTGGGCAAAAATGGCAGCCATGGGAGAGTTCCAAGGCGAAAACCACTGCTGACCAAAAAGAACACAAAGACTCGTTTCACAAAAACATCTCGATGATCCCCTAAGACTTTTGGGAAAATATTCTGAACTGACGAGACAAATCTGAACTTTTTGGAAGGTGTGAATCCCGTTACATCTGGTGTAAAACTAACGCAGCATTTCATAAAAGGAACATCATACCAACAGTCAAACATGGTGGTGGTAGTGTGATGGTCTGGGGCTGCTTCAGGACCCGGATGACTTGCTGTAATTAATGGAACCACAAATTCTGCTTTCTACCAGAAAATCTGGAAGGAGAATTTCCAACCATCAGTTTGTGACCTTAAGTTCAAGCAAATTTGGGTTATGCAACAGAACAATGATCCGAAACACCTCAGCAAGTCCACCTCTGAATGGCTTAAAAAACCCAAAATGAAGGTTTTGGAGTGGCCTAGTCAAAGTCCGGACTTAAATCCGATTGGGATGCTGTGGCATGACCTTAAACAGGCTGTTCATGCCCGAAGACCCTCCAATGTGGCTGAATTAAAACAACTGCATAGAAGAATGGGCCAAAGTTCCTCCATAGCGATGTCAAAGACTCATTGCCAGTTATCGCAAACGCTTGATTGCAGTTGTTACTGCCGAGGGTGGCACAACCAGTTTTTAGGTTTAGGGGGCAATTACTTTTTCACATAGGGCCAGGTAGGTTTGGAAAGCTTTTTTCCATTAATAAATAAAATCATCATTTAAAAACTGCATGTTGTATTTACTCGGGTTATCTTTGTCGAATACTAAAATTTGTGTGACAAATATGCAAAAAGATAAGAAATCAGAAAGGGGGCAAATACTTTTTCACAGCACTGTATATACAATATTTAGGTAAGAATCCCACATGATTTAAACACAGAAACGTGTTATATTGTGAAAATACAACGACAACCTGCATCTAATCCAGACCTGAAATCTGTATCAAAACCAGTGGAGCATTTATAGAATCTAAGACCATCTTATTAAATGTGAGTGGGGTCAGATAGTCATGCGTCTCTCAGAAAGTCAGTGTACCTTCCCTATTTCATTGCATCTTTCATTCTAAGAGCTTTATTAGTCTGCAGCATACTAATGTGTCTGTATACAGGTATGTGTGTGTGCACGTGTGCATGCATGTTTGGTCCATCAACAAGAGAAGTTAATCTAGCATGCCATCGAGGTTGTGGTAGTCGCAACCTAGCAATGCAAAGCCACTGTGTGTGTGGGGGTGTCTGTGGACCTGTCACTGTGGTGATGATGAATGATGGTTGTTACCAATATGTCCATCTGTTGTTGCCGCTAGA